CTAATCCTTAAGTTTCATTGCTTTGCTTTTGTTAAAAATGCCCTGAATGGAAACAAGATTCAATGTGTTTGTTTTGTTTTTGGGTAAGAAAAAATCAATTTTTTGTTTCCTGTCAATATAAAGTTTTTGTTATTATTATTATTATTATTTTTAATTCAGATACCAACCTGAACACTCAGTTATTTGCTTGACCCTCCTCGCATGAGACACATGCTGTGATCCTGTTGAAGACCATCCCTAAAGGATATACAGCATATTCCTTGTGCATATCACAAGACATTTTTTTACAAAAATTCTGTTGGTCTAATAAAAGATATCTACTGCGAGTCCTGATTGCCTTTTCCTTTAGACCAATAGAGCTAGAAACTGGATACCTTGTGCATATCACAGTATTTTGTGGATCAGCTGCTGAACTATAACTAGGGAAAAAGGAAAATAAGAAGAAAGGATGGGAGACACTGGCAAAGGACCCTTGGGTCTGGCAACCCCAGTTTAGTCTCAGGAGGTTGATGGAGGTGAGAACTTTCACGTAGAAAACACAAGCTCAGCTAATGCTGTAAAGGTGCTAGTAGGACACTTTGCTCATTATTATCCCCAAATTCTGCCACTGGATGTTTTGAAAAATGACTTTATAAATATTGGAATCAAAGTTTCTTACTTATTGTGGCAAAGTGAACCCCTCCCCATAAAATTACCCAAATTATGCACTGGTCTAAACAAAGGAGAGCTACAGTGCCAACTTTAAAATTATATCAACTGGCTTCTAATATGACACAGATAAATGCTTTACAATTACAAGAAAGAACACTGCTGCCCTGGGGAAATGGAGAACAATATATGATGGGGGCCAAAAACCCAGGAGACTAATGGTTTATACTTCACTGAACTCTGCCGTAATCTTTACATAACAAACATGAAATGAGGAACACCACAGAATGAAATGAGAGTCTTACCAGGCCTCTAAACCTACAGGTAAGGACATTGCCAACAGCTGTGCATGGTGGATAGTACATGATACAAGATAACTGTAGTAAGAAGGAATCTGCGTCAATAAGTAACCCTCTCAGTGAAGGATTCCTAGGCAATCACAGGATAGGAACCAATCCATTCTTCCCCAGTTGACAGGAAGGAGGGAATAATGATAGTTCCTAGCATTGGACAGATCACCCCCTTACAGGGAAGGCTAAAGTGTGCCCACTCTCTAGTGCAAAGGTGGAAGGCTGATGGGAATTATTATGTAATTATGTAGATCTGAGACCATCTGTGCAAAGGATCCCTGCAGCCACTTCCTAGCAGCATATCCATGGCAGGGCCATTCTGATTTATTAGTAACTAATTATAATACACACCACAGTATACAGGGTATAGCCTGGACTTCAGAGACAAGGGTACAGTGCATCATCATCCTGGGGTGTATGGAAACATGATCCTTTCTTTGGTGGAGAATTATTGCGGCTTTGGTTCCAGCATGCTCCTTATCTGCTGGTGATGTCACCACAGTAAATTTGTGGGTTTGAATGAAGACTCGGTGAATACGTTGCAAGTAGAAGGGGCAGGTGGAGAAAGAGGTAGATGGCTTTGTGAGAGAAGGAGACTACAAGGGTATGAAAAATTGAGTCATTGGAGCAGTGGAGTGGCAAGTGGAGAAGGTGGGATGCAGAGATAAGGGAGAGGATTGGTGACCTAAAATAATGACATTGAAAGGTGATCTGGAAAAATGACCCAAACAGGGGGCATCAGTATAGGAACAGGGTGGGAAGATTTTTGAGAGATCTTAGAATGGATTGATGGGAGCAAAACTAGTTTCCAAAATCCTGGCAAGGTAGAGAAGACATGGGGGGAAGAAAGGGATTATCAGTGTCTGGAACAGTGACTTAGTCTTCAAGTACAGAGGAAGGGTGTCTGGAGCTGCTGCAAGAGAGGCTGACTTCAGATTTGCAGACAGAACAGCTACACATCTGGCTAAGCTGGCCAAAACCCAGCCAGCAACAGCAGGATCAATGAACAAGCCATCAAACAGGGAAGTCTGAGTGGGGAATTTACTGGGGAGTTTGCCCAGACACTTGCTTTCTCACCCTTTCTTTACTGGAACCTTGCTGAGAGGAAGCAGGTAAAGAAGGAAGAGGGAAATTTTCAGGAAGTAGCAGCAAAAGAGGAAGAAGGAGGTAGCAGGAGAATCAATAGGATGCTATACAAAAGCCCCCTACAACTGCAAGCTCTTCCTCTGCCTGTACCTGTGCAGGCTCTGGCCAGGCACAACCACTGATCATGAAGCTTCCACCAAAGTTCTGGTCTGGCTTTGCAGGGAATGCAGCCTGCATGGCCCTGCCAGAGACAGCCAGGTGGGGGAAGAGCTTGCAGGGTGAAAGGTGCCTCCTGGTGGATTCTCTCGGGAATCAGATAAGGAAACTGTAGGGACAGGTGGATAGGCTTCAGATGGAAGGAGCATGAAGCCTTCCTTCTTTCCACTCTGGACTAAATCCTATGAGGTTCTGAGGCTCTACAGGTCCTGCTAAAGCCAGTCTGAGAGTTAAGGACACCCACAACTTCTCAAGGGAACCCCAGGGAGAAGGTTTAATGAGAGCTCATTGGCTAACCCCAACCTGTGCCTAATGAACCAGCAGTGTCCCTCTCACACATGTGATTCTGTAGCTGGACTAGGTTGAGAACCTGTGCCCCTCATTCAGTGGTAGGTTACACAGCATAGTGTAGCAGGAGATGGACATAATGCTGGGACAGAGGTGGTAGCTTTCTGTGACACACATTTATCCCTCACAAGTAATATCATATTACTAAGACTGCAGAAATGCCAATAGAAGTAGCAGTGTCTATGGGTTGTCTGAACTTGTCTCATGGTAAAATAACTGGAAGAGGGAACTGTAGGTTAGAAGTGAAAGCAAATAAGCATTTGGAAACCGGGAACACAGAATTGTGCCACTGGTGCCCTCAGCTGTACCTCTTTTTAATGCTGCACATATGTTTCCTCAGTACACTGAATCATCAGCTGAAATATGAGCTATAACAGAATTACCTGAACTGTCACTGAGACGCACTTGCAGAGCTGTGAGAACTCTCTCTCAGACACTCATGCACACACACACACACACACACACACACACACACACACACACACACACACACACACACACACACACACCTGCAGTCAGATACAGCATTTCTTGCCCATATACTCACCACCTGCACTTTTAGACATCTGTTTAAACACCCCCATGCCTGCAAAGACCTGCAATTGGACACACTTCTAACACTGTCCCTAGATACACCAGCAATTGGATGCACTTTTAAGACTGTTATTTACACACCTGCACTGATACCCAGGTTCTCTTGTCACCTTCACAAATGTAGTTCAGAAAGAACAATGGCTACAGAGCCATCTCAGCTTGCAGGGACTGATGTGAGAACTCAGGCTTCTACAAGGCCACTCACGTGTATGCTACATAACAGACTTCCATCAGCATGTGTCAGGCAGGGATGTGAGGAGGTGTGATGCCTCAGTAGCACAGCTGTGCTGGCAGGAGCCCCAAGTTATACTGGCAAAGCTGAACTTTTTGTGGTACAGGTCAGTGCTATCCAACTGGCAGCCCAGTGATGCCCATAAAGAGTTAACCTGAAGCCCTGGATGACTCTGGCTACCACTCATCTAATTGTTCTGGCTGCTGCTGCAGCTGGGGTCTCAGGCTCCCTCTCCCTTCTTGGTTTCCCCCTCCTCTGGCTTTCACTTCCGGCACCATTTCAGGGAGCAGTGCAGCCTACAGCATTGGGGGAGCCTGCTGCCAAGGAGTTGAGCAGGGGCTGCCTGCCCATGCAGGGCAATGGCAAGAGGAAGGAATGCCTGCACATGCGATGCACTTGTTGTGGGTGTGGGAGACGCCATCTGTCAACACCGTGCTGGGAGAGCTTGCAGCTAGGGAGGTGAGAGGGGCTTATGGCACTGGCTGGTGTGGCAACTGCAGTGTGTGACTCTGGCTCCTAAGAAGTTGGACAGCCCTGATATAGTTTATTCTTTTGGCACAAAGTAGAGTTTTGATAGAAAAGCTGTGTCTATTCCAGGAATATTCTATTTGTATAGTATGCTGGGAATATTCCTGTGTCATTAAAACTTTCATAGGGCAGAATCAGTCTGGCCCAGTTCCTCTGGCTTCATATACTGAGCCCAAGGCCTTGACTTTGTTAACCACTTCGCCCAGAGGAATCTGGGTTTTTTATGGCTGTAGGAACAGGAAAAAGGGTGCAGTCTGACTTAGTAGTGAGGAACAGTGAAGTTTCTGTCAGATTTCAAATGAGGACTTTGTGTCAGAGAGAAAGGAATGACAGACATGCTACAAAAAAGGTTCTAACCTAGCTAGGGATATCTTGGTAGTCTTTGCTGAATTAATTAACCATCGGGAAACACAAAACAAAATAAAAGTTGGTGAAAGACCAGGGGAGAAAAGAAAACTGTATGTGTTTGCTCTGCAGGGATGACCTGTCTAGCAATGCCTTAGGCCAGGGGTTTTCAACCTTCTTGGGTCAGCGTACCGCTGGCAGCCAGTTGAGAAGGCAGGAGTCCCCTGGTGGCCAGACAAGCAGGGGCGGGAGGGGGTCTCCCCAGCGGCTGATCGGCAGTGGAAGTGCTGGCGGCACGGCGGCACCAGCTGCCAAGTACCCCCAGGGATACGTGTACCCCCAGTTGAAAATTCCTACTTTAGGCATAGCATATAAGCAGCAATGTAAAGTTAAGGTAATAGCTGTCAAACAGCCACTGGCTGGTGGTACTGCACACATGACCTGAGCAATATTTAGGACTCCTCTTTGGCCAGTGCTCTGACTTGGCTCTGGCTCTCATTCTTTTATATGCTCCCCATAAAAAACATGAGAGTAGGAACATCCCAGGCTGATGTGCTTCTCTGTGTGCTATATCTCAAACACTGAGAGGAAGTTGCTTTCCTTGTAAGACACTGCTCTGTGTGGTAAGTCTGATCAGCTTGGTGCTGTCCTACCTTCCAATCCCAGCCAATTCAGCAGAGTTCTTGTTGCTGTTTTCTCTCCCCAAATGACAGCTGGCTGCTGTTGGATTCCATTGCTGGTATAAGTCTGCAAACAGGAAATGAAGAGAATTTGAGAGGTGGATGTTGTACTCCACCGTAATGTCCCACCTGGTCATGCAGGCTTAGATTGAGCAAAGTATTTCTGCAATAATTTTCTATGTGTTCCATGAGAAACAATTTGCATCCCATAGTAACTGTGACTTCTCCACTAAGTATGTGTGCCCATGGAGACCTTCTTCTCAGACCTCTTGGCCCCATTTATGTATTTCATGTGGATGAGTATTGTCTTCTGCCATCAAGGCCCTAGATAACATGCAATGCTGGTGATGCAGGGATTTATTTTGCAAAGACAAGGGCCCAGGTAAGGGATCAGTGCTAATAGGCTGACATTTCAATTTTAGTCCCATCCCTCAATGGATGAATGTGGCTGTGGGTATACAGAACTGTCAACTCCAAGGACTTCAAAATCATGAGCCAGGTCACCAGCAATCATGAGACTGGCGTTTAAATCAATAGTAGCAGTACTAATAAAAGTGTGTTTCTTTCAACTGGCCTGCTTGTGCCTGACTCATAAGACTAAATTGGATCATGTTTTCAAGCTTTTATCAACAACCACCAGGGATAGAAGTTTACTTAAAAAACCGCAGAGTTTCTCAGGGGATTAGCTGACTCCAGGAGATGGGGTTTTAAAAAGAAAATGGGAGACCATGATACGAGTGATAAAAGTGCAAAAGTTGACAACACTGGGTATAGGTGAATGACTGCAATGACTGATGTCCCTGGTTGAGCTTTTGGCCCAATTGTAACAGAGTCCATGTCACGCTGTTCTAGGCTCAGCACACAGAACTTTTGAGTCATTTGTTGCTCTCTGTCCCAGGTCAAGGGGAAAGA